GTAAAAGATCAGTTGATATATTTGTGCGACTATATGCAAGTATATCAAAATTGGATTAACTACACATGGTTTAGATTCTTGTTAAAAATTATGCATATTAATGTATGTATATATTTTTTTTTTCGATTTGTTCCCATATATCAATAATAACTATAGATTATCTTCTCGTTTTACTAAAAATGAATCGCGTTTTAAGTAACATATACTTGATAAAATTAATAGGTCTAAAACCCTAAATACATTATAAATCACATAATCATATTCATATAATCGATAAATAAGTCATATAAAAATGGATACTATTCAGGATTTACGTGGTTCTAAATGTAGTGAAGAAGAATGGTCTGAATATTGCTGGATGCCACAAGTTCGCACTAATGAAACTCCTAAAGCTCTTGGTGACCTTGATTTACCAACAGACCTTCAATCGCTTTTTAAGTGTGGCAACCTTATCTTCCTTACATATTTCAATATTAAAATATTCACCATCTGGAAAACGACACTTGAGACTAATAGGATTGGTCATTTTGCGTTTCCTAATATAAAGTTCTGTAATAAGTAAAAATTCATTTACAATGGATAGTGTCCTTATTGCAAATAATGCATAATGAACACCAGCAAACCAAACACGTTACCTTATAAAAATTGCGAAAAGATAAGAAATGATGCCTCACAAATCCAGTTTATTTATATTGTTCCATTCGCTAAATCTGAGAACCTGCTAGAAGAAAAAATAGATGATTAGTAATTACGTTATCCTGACATTTCTCAGATCTTTGCTCCATAAAGCAATTCTATTAGAATCATAAGTGCCAAGTACTGAATATATGAGTCATATAGTTCTATGCAAAGTATATTTCGTCATCTATGAGGAAAATTAAGCTTTTGAATCTGCCGATCGCTCTTGTAAAATGCAAAATAAGCCAAAACTTGACGATCTCGGAGATGGCGGAGATCTCGACTCCCATAACATATGAATTTTGATATAAGCAAGACTCTACGTAGTATTATTACTGGTAAAGAACAATAAACTCTCCTCATTCATATCTTTTTGCGACTCATTTGTATTTTTTCCTATCGAAAAGCTTTACTATAAATTCATAAATATGAAAAGAAAATAATTTAGCGGTATCACAAAATAATCTTGTGGAACATAATTATTAATATTAGTATATAGGCCAATCAATATATAACCCGTAGTCTAAGAAAATAAGAAAAGGCTTTATTATATGTAAATATGTAACGATAGAAAATAAATTTTAGCGATATCACAAAAAAATTCATTGTGAAACGAACAGATATAATTTTTTTTTCATATATCGAAATTAATACTAATCCATATACATTACTTTTGTGTTTTCATATGTCATCGAGGTAACTTGACTATTATTAGAAGTTCATAGAACGTGTAAAAGATCAGTTGATATATTTGTGCGACTATATGCAAGTATATCAAAATTGGATTAACTACACATGGTTTAGATTCTTGTTAAAAATTATGCATATTAATGTATGTATATATTTTTTTTTTCGATTTGTTCCCATATATCAATAATAACTATAGATTATCTTCTCGTTTTACTAAAAATGAATCGCGTTTTAAGTAACATATACTTGATAAAATTAATAGGTCTAAAACCCTAAATACATTATAAATCACATAATCATATTCATATAATCGATAAATAAGTCATATAAAAATGGATACTATTCAGGATTTACGTGGTTCTAAATGTAGTGAAGAAGAATGGTCTGAATATTGCTGGATGCCACAAGTTCGCACTAATGAAACTCCTAGCGAGTGGAAAGAACGAATCTGGGATCGCTTACAGTATTTTAGAGAAAATCTTCTTTTACCTTATGAGAGTAAAGATTATTTTAAAGCGAGAAAATTAATACAATTTCCAGATGGTAACTCATATGCTCCTTGTATAGGAATTGTTATTTGTTTATCTTGTAACCAATTAGTACATACTGGAGAGTATGTTAAAAGAATGGAGAGACACTGGAAATTTTCATGTACCGGTAATAAATATTGTAGAATAAATTATGAAGAGTATATGAAAATTAAACAAAAACCTGAATCTGAACGTAATTTCGATGATAACATTGCATTAAATTATTATGAGCTGTGGAAGTGCAATGCAATCAGTAGAATCGAACGTGCAAGGGAGGTTGGAAAAAAGATCCGAGCATGTACCATCATACAGAAAAAATTTATAGAATATTATTATCGCCCTGATGGACTTTGTGCTACAGAGTTAGCTAATCATTATAAAATATTATGGAGCATTCGAGAAGAAATGCGTCAGATTAATAACGTATAGATGGTTTGTGAAATAATATTTATCTATTTATTAATGTATAACTTATTTATCTATTTATCTATTTATTAATGTATAACTTATTTATATATAATTTATCATCTGAGAGCTGGTATTTTTTTTTTATTTTTCTGGGATATATATATATATATATTCAAGCTTAGCGGAGTTAGTTCCACTAAAAAATCTCGATCATAATTTATTTTCTTTATTACGCAATTAATGATTTGATCTCTTTTTCCAGATCTAGAGGATTCATCTTCAATTTTTTACAAAAGTGATCAGCGTGATTTTTTATTTTAACCAACTATCTCCGTATATTGAATATATCGATCTCTTATATAAAAAAATATTATTGATCATAGTAACGGAAAAATGTCTTATGAACTACGTGATCAGGTTTCCAAGTATATAGGATTCAACCCTGAAGAAATCCGCCTCCCAGTTACGGATGAAGATAGACAACTATTTCAAGAATTAATAGCAGATCAAGAGAAGATGATAGATATTGTGATGGACGAGTATCGATTTTTGCTTCATCACGGACATAACTACAAGGGCGGGGAATCAATACATATAATGTGGGTATATATATGTACTGAAAAAGATGCTGAGAAAGTATTGATAGATGTACCTCCATCGAAGATATTATCTAGAAAAGTTTTAGCCCACATCGAAAAAAGATTCAAAGACCTTCCACTCGCACCAGTTTTTATAGTTGATTAGATGTATCACTACTCTGGAATGCGGATACAGTTGGTATGCTTATTTTTATGATGGCGAGGATTTCTTTATTGATGATGAGGTTAAGTGAGATAAATGATATAAGTGAAATCTATAATTATATTCGTTAAAGGTAATTAATCGAATTTGGTTAATCACGTACATATTTACATCATTATTATGATCAGGTGTACAGATTGAAATTTTAATCTAAAAATAGCGGCTAATTTTTGTTATACAACGTACAACATATTAATTATCTGATTTATTATGCCAAAGGGATGAAATAATATTTTAATATTATGATTTACTATATTTTTAGCGTGATTCTAGCTCGACTCTAGCACAAGTATGATATTTTACATATAATTATATAGAAAAAATCTAGCGTGACTCTAGCTTGATTCTAGTATGATTCAACCATATTTAAACTCCGGTTTTGGATAATTTTCATAATTTTTGCATGCAAACTTTTTTTTGCGCGCAAATTAATAATCAATGTTTCATCCTGATTACAACCCCATTATATCGAAGCTTCCAAAAAGTCTAGTCAAGAGGGTATATCATAGGCTTTTATATCGCTCCAGGTTACCCATTACACCAGAGCTAATTTCCGAAAAATGCGATCGAATTGAGGCTTATTTGTATCATACATTAGAGGTATATGAAAAAGGATTAAATCGAAAACGTAAAAAACAAATCCAAACTATAGAACTACTTGAAAATTTATCATATAATAACAAAACTAGTGTCAAGACATATATAGATATGGCTAATCAAGAAACCCAAACCCAGAATATTAATCCGATCTCCACCTGTAATCAGGCACGTAAGTGTCCTTGCTTCGCATGTGAGGAAGAAATCAATCGTCGTGTTAAGAAAGAATTAGATATTTTATGTCGACGATTACTTGAATATAATGAAGAAACTTTTGGTAAATTTATGCGAGAAATTACTATAGAGCATGAAAAGCGGGTTAATGAAAATAAGAAATTGCGATATGAGGTTGAAGAAAAGAGGATAGAATTACAAGAGGCAGAAAAATCCCTAAAATATCTGAAATCCCGCTCTATTCATTAGGACTTTCAAGAATTTTATCCCAACCAATTCGTATTCTGTGTGGATGTTCAGGAGGTACACTTAGATCGAAGACGATAAATTTCTGTTCACATAGATACTTATTAACAATTTTATATACATTGCGCCAGTCGTTAACATATAAACGAAGTATTCTGCTTAACTCATCTGAGGTACAAGAGCCGTTAAAAATTACAACATATTTTAAGTTTTTCCTTATTAGTCCCGGGCAGTCAAAATAGCTTTGTGAAACATACATTGAAGAAACATTGGAATGGCGCCCCTCAGTAAAATAGGGTATAATCTTCTCCTGGATTTTTTTCGGTTCAGTACATACATCCTCAAATATAGCTACAGTGCCTCTTTCTGGAGAAAATGAATCCAGCTTTGGAATTTTATCAGGCTTCATAGCCCGGAATGTAATATCTTCACGATGTGGCTCTGGACTATTAGCAATTATTTGATATACTGATTTAAGATACATATATTTGGGTTCCTTGAGATGGTGTCCAATAAGTACGACATCATCACATTTAATATATCTAACACCCCCTTTTTTACCGTTAAACATTCTATATAGTTTATTCCCAGACAAAAGACGAACAACTTCTCTAGATTTTCCTGAGTTAGTTCGACCGCAGATTAAGCATGTGAAGGGCCATTGAGGTGTACTGTTTTTTGAGTTATATTTTTCTGGATTCTTGTATTCGTCTATATTTAGAACAAGCTTCTCGAGTGGATCAAGCTTTTTTATTTTCATTTTAATCGAGATAAGTCACTAATTATTATATCGAAAAAATATTGATCCTTATTGTTATATATATTCACCCGATTTTTTATTCTATGTAGTCTAATAAATGCGACATAGTAAATCACTTAAGGCTCTCTAATATCAATGCGTGGATTGCTAGTCATAAGAGCATCGATTGCCTCATCAGTAACAGAGTAACATTTTTTGAGATCAAGACTACGCAGGTTCTTACATGATCGAATAATTTCATGAATTGATATATCACTAATAAAGCAATTTAGAAGAAGTAGCACTTCTAGTCTTGGGCATGATCTTGCTATTTCACAGATAGACTCGTCGGTTATATAACACCAATCCAGATTGAGGCTTCGGATACTTGGGCACGATTGTGCAATTTTTTTAACTGATATATCACTTACCCCACAACTCTCAAAAGAAAAATCTATAATATTTCGGCATGAAGTAGCGATCGCACAAACCCCCACATCGGAAATACCTCCACAAGACATTAGTCTCAAATGTTGGAGTCCAGGACAGGAATACGCTACTGCTTTTAATGTCTCATCTGTAATACTGCAACACCACAAACTAAGATAACGTAATTTGGGACAGGAATGTGCGATATCAATCATAGATATATCGGTGATATGTTTATTGTGTCCCAGACTGAGATAGTTTAAGTTTGGACACGAATCGGCGATTTTGCTTAAAGATTTATCAGAGAGTTTAGAAGAACCGAGACTTAGATATTCCAGATTTCGGATTGCAATTCCACAAAGTATTCTGTCATCAATATATATAAATTTACCAGAGACCCCCTTTTTAGTGTTGTTAAAATCAAATTCTAAATGTTTTAGATTAGGCCACATTTTCAAAGAATCTGCAGTTGATTCATAAGAAAAACCATTACAGCCGTTAAGAATGAGACATTTCAATCCGGAGGTTTCGCAAGCAATCTTGATTAAGGTTCGATCTGAAATTTTACATTCGTGAAGAATGAGTCGCAATAGCTTAGAATGGTAAAGAGGTTTTTGTTTCCCACGCATCACTTTCTTGAATTTTTCGAATTGTACTAGATTTCTTTTATCAAACACCGCACAACGCCAGATAATCGGCCCTGCACATGAATACCAAAATTTATTGACGAATAAGGTCGGATACAATGATCTATCTTCAGCTAAATTCAAGAAAATTTCGGTTAATATTTCAGGTAAGTTTAGTGGATGTAATTTAACCACAAAGTGACTGCTTCTAGCAATATATGACATTGGTATTTAAATTTACGAATTTATTCTATATTTGATAAATAACCTTTTTCGATCAATTTACTCTTTATATATATTAATAAATCACAGTCAAACGGGATTTCGATGAGACATATACCTTGCTCCTTGCATATATCCCGCTTTTTTTGATCTCTGATTTTTTGTTGTTCCAAGTCTATCTTGCCTCGCTTATGGAACATTGGATTCTCGGAAAAATGTTGAGGTCCCTGGAATTCGTATGCCAATTTTAATTCTTCATTATATCCATCTAATTGCATCCCATTCAAAAATGACGGTTTACAAGATGGAAATTTTTTACCTAACAAATCTTCGAAAATATACCTCGCGGATCTCTCACCTTTATTATGATGACATAGGGGACACCATTCGAATTTCCGCTCTAAAACTTCTAATGGATACTCAAACTGATGCTTCCCGTTTTCACAGGACCAGAGATATACATCGAAACCATTTATTTGGCCAGTTTTACCACGACATTCTCCGCCACGCCTCTCAGCATATGCAACGGCTTTAGACATTTTATTAATAATACGAACGAAATTAATAGATCTGGAACGAGTGTTTTCTTCCAATATACTCTGGGGTGGATACTGAAGCGTATCGATATTCACATATAAGAGTTCCTCTTTCACAAACCCCCGCTTTGGTGTAAACTCATCGCCTTCGAGATAATATAAAATTGGTTCATTCTTCGTTACAACAATTTTTCGAATTTTAAATAAAGTTGGACTCCATACCGGATCCGTGGCTCTTTTCTGATTCTCCATACCTCCTTCCCACTCTGCATTAGCAAGCAGGTAACGAACATTATCCCCCTTTTTTAACTTATTTTCCTCATTTTTTCCAACAGGACGCTTATATTTTGTGGATGGCCGAGATTCAACCTTTTCTAATTTGATGGCTTTTATTGGTGCCAACCCCCACTTCGAGGATCCAGGAGCTCTAATAAGACGTGTTGGATAATTATTTAGGTAATCGATAACTTCTGGTAAATACTTGACCCACTCTCTTATTAATTTATGATCTTTAGATATTGATTCAACGGCATACTGGATTTTATAAAGCATTTCTGCTAACGTCTTATTGAATCGTTCTACAAGAGCTAATCCACGATGACTATAAGCACCAATTACTCGAATTATGACATTATGCGCTTCCATTAATCGAGCAGTTTCGCCCATGAATTCTTTACCGCCGTCATATTGTAGAAGTGTCGGGTATGTAAGAGGGTTATTGGGATTATCATAAATTTTCTTAAATGCTTTAGCAACTTCGGAACTATTCTTCGATGTTAGAGGAACACTTGCCTTGAACCTGCTACTCACATCTATAATTTGTAATACTGCTTTCCATTTTTTACCTTTATAGTAATCATGCGTAAGAAATAAGAGGTCACACTGATGTACACAATTTGGTTTTTGAATTTTACCATAACTAACCCGTGGAGTCTCTTTTGGCGATGGAGCGTATTTTTGCCATTCATTCTGGTTATGCAACCATTCACGAACCTTTTTATATGGGAAATTATATCCTTCCTTCTTGAGGTCTTTATGTAATGATCGAGCATTGGAATGATAACCTGTGGGTTGATAGAACAATAACTTGCAAACTAAAGCTAATTCATCATTAGGATCGATTCTGATAATAGGCTTGCTCAATTTGCTCATTTTCAATGCATTTTACTCTAATAATAAATTAGGGTTGAAATAAATGGCGAATTTTGAATTCGATCCAGGATATTTACAACTGCTAGATTCTAACCGGAGGTTGCGCAAAGAGTTAGAAAGCGAAATAGCTATAAACCAAGTGAATGAGAAAAAAATCCGCGACCTCATAAAAGAAGTTGAGAGTTGCCATAGGACTATTTCATTCCAGGATAGCACTATTATAGCTCATGAGTCAGAGATTCGGGAATTAAAAACCCAAGTATCTGATCTTGAAAAATGCCTCAGAATAGCTTTAAAGGATGTAGATAAAAAAGAAGAATTCATAGTATATCGGGATACACAAATATCCAATCTAGAAAGTGAAGTAGAGAGCCTTAAAATTCGAATTCATGAAATATCATCCCATAAATATATTCATAAAGATAACCCAGATATGGCTCAACAAATTCGAGCACCTGCCCCTGGTGAGGCACAGACAATTACGGAATCTGTTCGCAATACATTCAATAATATCAATAGTATATTTCAGAGAACTCCTGTATCTACAATCCCCAGAGGTATTATTGATCGCGAATTTGATGATATAAAAAACGCTGTAAAAAGGCTTCGAGAAATTTTGGACTGGGAAAAGAATCGGGCAGATCAGGCACAAGTCCAAGTCAATCAAAAGAACCAAGATATTAGAAGGTTAAATACCGGTATAACCCAAGCTGAAGGTGATTATAGAATATTACTTTTGGCCTATCATAATGAAAAGAATGAACGTAGGCACTGGTTCTATTCATATAAAGATAAACATAGGCGAGTTGGTACATTACTACGTGAGAAATTCGCCACTCAATTATTATTGCGCAATTATAGCCATCGATTACAACAATCTCAGAATTATGCTAGAGCCCTGCGACAAGAGTTAGATACATGCCGGGATGATTTACTTCTTAGCGATATTCAGCTTGATACTAAATGGGGTAAGTGGAAAAGACGATGCCGAAATAATGGTCAATTAATTACGAACCAAAATCAGAATATTTTGAATTTAAATCAACAAATTTTTGCGCTACAGAATAATCCATTACTAAATAACCAACATATATCAGGAATGGTAGGATACGGACCCCCAATTTTTAGAGGTAATCCTGGAGAAGATCCGGAAGATTTTCTTAGAGATTTTCAAAGATATGTAGTAGCTTCTCGAATAAATGTGACAGCTGGTGCAGGTGGTGTGGCCGGGAGAGCAGAAGCAGATGGCTTATTCGAATCATGTCTTGAAGGTCCAGCATTAAATTGGTATGAAACTAATATCAAAGGCAAGAATTGGAAATGCAATAATATTTCTGATAACTTAGGAGTAGCTACTATAACTGCAATTCGTACACTCGGTGCTGGAAATGGAGGTAATCAGATAGGTGGTTTAAATACTGCTGGCGAATTTCGTAATGAGGCGAGTGCAGAAATTGGTCGAATTGGTGCAGGAATAGCAACTGGGGCTAATCTAATTCCAAATGGAACATGGAATGAGGATTGGTCTATAGCAGGTGGAATGCCAGTAAATGATGCACCAGTGGCACCAAATGGTGGTGGAGGATTTCCTAATGTTACAATTGCACCTGGTATGAAGCTCGGTCAAAAAATATACAGACTTCGATATTTTTATACTACAGTGGAGGCGCAAAAACAAATGGCCATCTTTGGTCAGCTTATGCAAGGATCTATGCAAGTGGAAGAATTTAGTAATAAAATAAAAAAGCTTGGTAAACTTGCTGGAATGTCTCCCCAGCAACAAAGGGAGCAATTTATTCGTGGGTTATCTCCTATGAATCAATATAATTTACGTATGATGGCTAAATTTCATGATTCTCAGGACAACATTACAACAGCATTGGCAGAGGCGGAAAAATATACATTAGCTCAAGTGACCACGCCATCTTCTTTTCCAGTATTTCCAACACCCAATCCTCATGAAAAAAATAAACACTCGAGTGATATGACCCCCGTGAACCCTTCTAAGTCTCAGGAGATACAAGCTAATGATAACTCTGTTTCGCGAGATGATTTCAAAAAACTTTATGATATAGTGCTGGGTTTGAAGGAAACAATGGCTGGAGCAAAGCGGACTTTATCGAAAAAACCCGGCCCAGGGAAACGAAAAGCTGATGATCTTGCTGTAGACCGTTTTTTAGAGAGTTTACCGGTTGATACGAGTTTACCTGGAGAGGGGTATGATTATGACCCGGTTGAAGAATTGAGATTACAATTCGAGGAATTGGATATCAATCAAGCGAAAATAGCTAAAGCAATGAAATTGATACATGCCGTTGTTAAGAAATCATCCAAACATAGGTGCTCAAATTGCAACAGGACTGGGCATAATTCTCGTAAGTGTACTCGTAAGAAAAGGTCCAAGAGTAGATCCAAAAAAAGAGGCAGTGTTAATAAGGTTGCTGTAGATTCGGGTTCAGATACAAACTCTTCAGATAACGATTCTTCAGGTAACGATTCTTCAGATAATAACTCCGATTCTGGGGATTCCTCATCTGAAGTTGAATCTGATCATAGTTTTGATGTACACGTCTCTAAATCAAAAAAAAACAAGTAAAGCGAAAGAGTAAATCGGATAAATCATTATCTAAAAAGTCTGGTTCAAAGAAGAGACAGAGTCTCGAATCTCCGATTCAACGCTCTTCACAAAAAATACAAAAGAAATCAGGTATGATTATCGACTCACAAATTCGAAAAATTATTCTAGCTATGTTTAACGATCCAGAGGTTATAGAAACGATTAAAAACAATATTAATAATACGAATTTATCTATGACTCGAAGAGTCGCCCCTAAAGGGCCTGCAAAACCTGACTTTACTGCAAAGCAGGGCACTTCGTGCTTAAATTATCGAGAGCCGACCCCAGAAATACCCGAATCAGATGACGAAGAGGAGACGCTGAACGATCCTATGGAGATAGATTTTGTTCGAAGAAAGGAACCTACCACAAGCCTTGCAACTATACCAGTTAAAATCAAACGCTTAAAAATTCCAGCATTGGTACTCGATAGTGGGGCTGAACCTCCAATTACGTCAGAAGATATTGTTAAACGTGTAAATTGGCCGATTGATAAATCAGAAAAATATGATCTTAGTGGTGTTGCTACAGTTCCAACAGAATCTATCGGTATTGCTCGTAATTTCCCAATAACATTCCCTCCAGGTTTTACTATACGTGAAGATTTTGTAGTTGTACGTGTTCCTAAACCAACATTGATATTCCCAAACCCACTTCTCAAGAAATATAAATGCGCTATAGATTGGGGGAAAGATGAATTGAAAATTCCTTTCAATGGGAAGGATCACATTATTCCAGTAACTATGCATAAAGTCAAGAATAAGCTCGAAGTAAATTGCGCTACCGCATCTCAGAATGATAAGCCTTTGGTATCCGATCAAATTTCTCAAGAAGTTGATAGTAATGAGGGGGGTAATGAATCATTGGAGGAAGAATGGCACGCTCCTACGGATTTTAGCTTAGAATCTACCAATTCTACTTTAAAAAAAAATGCGTGAATTGTGAGAGGGCTATCAAAATCATTACCGAGCTTAATATTCGTAACAGACTTTTACAATCAAAATACGAAACTATGAATAAAGAGAAAACCGATTAAGAATTGCTGGTGATAGACACAGAGAGACTATTTAATATATGATCTGAACTTTCTATTCGTTTCTCTCCCTCATTTAATACCTTTTCAAGTTGGCTATCACTATTAGTGGATGGATCAGAAATTCGTACAGATTTGGACTTCGATCGCCTCTTTTTCGTCTGTTTATCTGGAATATCAGCAGAGCTATGCAAAGTTATTTTGGTGTCTTGCGATTGAGAATCGAGATGGAAATCATTATTTATATTTTGTCCAGGGATTTCAGTGTTTGGCAAGTAATCATTTACAAGTATAGATGGTTGAGATGAATGAGAGTATATCATTTGTTGTTTACGCTCCCGATTTTCAATATAATCTTCGGCTCGAACATAGGATATACGATATTTTTTTGCCATAGAATTTATAGCATCAGGTACTCTACCGGGTGATGTTTTAATATCTTTGATTGCCTCAACTGATAAAAATCTCGCATTAGCGCTATAATATTCTTTATGAATACGACCCATATCAGAAATTTTCTATTGTTTATAGCTATTAAAAATAAAGAAAAGTTTCGAAATGTTTCGAGATGTTTCGAAATGTTTGTATATGTTTCAAAATGTTTGTATATGTTTCAGAATATTTATTTTTTTTTAATATGTATAAACATTTGTACTAATTATTTATAATATCCACAAATTTCCATATATCATGGATAGATGTATAAGATATGTGATACTTTTTTAGCTAAAATCGATATTGCATTTTGCATACCTCTACTATTTATTATTTCACAAATGGTTTCAGGTAAAAGCTATGTTTTATTTAATCAAAATCTTTTAGATATTCTCTAATAATCAGAAATTTTATGATTTATCTTATTTCTATTACACATAGTTTAGCCAAAATATATGGCCAATGTGCAAGATAAAGAATCTCGTATTGTAAAAGTTATATCTGGATTAAATTCTCGTAATAAAAAATTACAAGACAGGTGCATAAAGCAAGATCAGGGGTTTGATCGTGAACGGAAAGGTTGGGAACAGGAGAGAAAAAA